CATGACCAGTATGGAACCATACACTAATAAATAAAACAAGAGGAACAACGAGAAGTAACATTTTTTACCTTCCAATATTTTCTGTGTTTTGTGCAATATCTGCTTCAATATCACATTTATTTACTCCATCGGGAAGATGTTAGTTTAAAGAAAATGATACGAAAATTAATAGTAGAAAGTAAGGCAGCATACCTGGACACCATCGCTTCTTTGTTTCCGGCGTTTCTGGGAAGCCTGTACTTGCAATTGGAGTTCACGTAGAGCATTAAGTAAATCAGCAAAGAATTTCCTTTTCCTGGTTTCTACACGATTCCTTTCTTCTTCCTCTGATCTTGACAACCTCTGCAGCAGAGATATTGAAGATGTTTGTAGTTCAATTATTATTGTTTCCCCCGGCAGTTACACATATAACATTTCTCAGCTATGAGGCTACAAATAGAAAGTTTCAGGATTCATTCACATCTACCAACCAATGAACAGTTGCTAGAAGATAACCCACTCACCTCAGCATCTCGTTTCTTCTTCAGGGAGTCATCAGCTTCCATAGCAAAAGCATCTCCTATACCATATAAAGGACGGCGCAATCGCGTCATGCCCCAATCAAACAACTTCTTATCCGGATTTGCACACCATAGACGGAGCCAATATTCAGAAATCACTTCAGACCGCACTTTGCTCTGCAGCTCAGCTAACTGATAGGAAAAAGAATTCAGAGTCAATGATGATAAACAGCAACATGAACCACTAATATCAAAATCTTTCAAGGAACAGGAAATGATACTCCTTTTTGACAATCAGGAAATATTTTTATTTTTTTTTTTCAGTTTTGATGAATTAAATGAGGTGCAGCTGACCTATGGGCAAAACCCAAAAGAAGAAAAGGAAAATTTCATCCTGCAAACAGATTTCCCTCCCTTCAATTTGTATGCATGCAGTTACCAATTGGCAATGAAAATCAGAGATTCATAAATTTGGCAGCATTTGGTTTCCCATTGCAGTCCAAGTTGCAATTCATAAGCTTGACAATATTTTGGGTCAAAAATAAAAACAGAAAACATTTAAGTTTCTCGAAAAGATAATGCTATGTTTTAAATGGAACCCGTACGACTTTGGTTCAGGTAGACCCATTTTTAGGACAGAAATTAATTTCACGAAATACATCCATCTTCTCCATTTCATTTAAGTTTAATGATTTTGTATTTAAATTTAATTATTTTGGTGGACCTAGTTACAGTCAATATTATTTCGTGCACGGTAAACAATTGTAAATATCTTTATCACTTCACAAATAAATTCTACCTTAAGCCCGTAGAGTTCAAGCAAGCACCTAGACTGGAGGTCCTCACCTCTGCTGGTTGGCAATCCTGTGTCAAAATGAAAGCACAGTAAAATATTCACAAAGACATAGCATAAACCGCGAAAATAAATTAGAGATGCATCAAAAAAGTTATTAGACATATCCTTAAACCATAAGACAGACCCATTTTTGTAGAAGTATGCTAGTTTAGGATATTTTATTATTTACTGCTGGAGATTCAGTAAATGGAGATTGAATAGGATACATGGATATCTACATAAATAACTGTAATAATGCTTGCATCGCTACCCAAGTCAGGACCCCAATACACCCACCGTCAGCTATAGGATAGAACAACAACAAACTTTGTACCATTTTAAATGTGTCTTTCATAAGAAAATACAATCATACCATATGAGTGACTCATTTTTCAACCATCCAGGAAGGTTTTGAAGGTAGAAACAGAAAACAA